GTCCATGTCTAAGATTTATTTAAGAATTATCTAGAAATGTATGGTAAGAAGCCGGAGCACCTGGAAAAAAACTAACATATACTCCGAATGAAAATCAAACTACCGACAGAGTTTTAGAGATTTAAACCCCTGTAGTAATATTTAAAGCACCTTGAAATTGGGCCTCTGTCTCTTTAAAAAGTTCCTGCTCCTTCTGAAACTCTGCCTTCAGGAAGTCATCACAACATGGCTCCTCTATTAACCCTTTAACAATGTTTTTACCAGCGTTGCTCTCAGAAGCAGCTCCTATAATGAGCTCAGCAGTTGCGCAGGTCCACCAGGTGTTTGCTAATTGCTGCTGGCTAGTCTGAAGGAGCTGAGCGGTGGAGCTGGTCTATGTGGTGGAAGCTCAGACACATCAGCTCTGAGGAGGAGCTGCATCTCAAAGGCGGGGCTAGGTCCACCCTGGCATTTCTACACAGCTGAATGGTTGCCATGGAGATTAAAGAATTTCTCAAACATGTATGAAATAATCAAAGCAACACTCCAGGTATGTTTTTGATGAGGGAATAAGGGTATAACATGACCTTGTATGGGTTCTGTACAAATCATAAAACCTTAAGAAGTTTCCACACTCCATGCCGCAAATGTTTTGAACTGTAAGAAACATTTAGTGTGAAAATGTCACTTATAATTGATGGGTTTAGGGATATCACAACATAAAGAAAATAGAGTATCATGTCAAACAGAACATAAATAAACAAACAAGCCACCTATGCTGAGCTCTAACATCAGAGGCATCATTATACAGATTCCAGGACCTTCTGTCAGCCTGAAAAGAGTTAAACCAGATATGTGACAGTCCTTAGATTCTTTCTGTCCAAGGAAACGAGCTGCTGTCTGGATCTATGTGACCACTCAGAAAGAGAAAAGTTTACACCTCTGAACATGGAGGAGAATCACTCTCTGACTAATCTGGTGATTTTTCCTCAGACATTTCTTGCCAGCACACCTGGAAACATTATGTGCTTCTAAAAGCTTTTACCACTCATTGGCAGCGTTTACATAATAATGTATTATTTTGATTAACTGGAATGTTTCAGCAAACTGCCATCTTAAGCTGATTGCACATCTAATTAAACCAAAATCACAACAACAATGATCACAATCAGTTCCTCAGCCTCCCACAGGGGGATGGTGTGATTAACACTGGATTTCCCTTAATTGGAAATCCATATGAAAGATGTATGCTTATATTGCATTGTTTCAGAGGTTTAGTTGGAAGGCAGCTCCTGGTTACCTTGGAAACAGAAGGATTGGTCCTTTAAAATAGGCTGGAAATTGGACTTTAATCTGCCTGGAGGCAAAGAAAATGCATAAGCATATCAAAAACATAAAAAAAAGGTTAGATCTGTCTTTAAAAGGTAATAAATTACATACACCTTCTAATTGATAAATAGCTCTTGAACTATTGACAACTTACAATTTGTCACTTTGCAAGCACCAGGGCCAGTCCAAGCCTTTTTGGGACCCTAGGCAGATTTTTATTTGGGAGGCTTCCCCATACCAAGAGGCCAGCACCAGATGATTTATCATTCCTAAACTACATCATTTGTAATTAGATTACATCACACCAGTGTGTTTATGGCTGCTAATTTAAACCTTACAGGAATAGGAAGTTAAAAAAAAAAATTGGATTTTGCAACATAGAGTAGGATTTAAGTGTGCCATATTATTTTAACTGTTTGAAAGTAACACCAGCTAATAAACACTACCAACAGCAGGAAGAAATCAACCTATTTTATGTGTAACAACTTTTGGTGCTGTGGAGGACCTAAGCAGCTGCTTAAGGTGAATTCCCACTACCCATGTTTAGTCCACTTTAATTAGACTCTTGTTCATTTGAATAGAAAGTCCAGTTCAACTGGGGAAGTGTGAGTACATAATCGAACAAAAAAAGCAAACTTTAATCAGCCTACAAACCAAAGTCTCAGTTCAGTGGAAGAGTACTATAGCGCAGGGCATTCTGGGTAAATACAACCAAATGAGCACGTGAGTCCAGTGACAGCAGGAGAAATGATTTGTGGTCTTTGGCCAAAGGCAAAAGAAAAATACTAAAACCGCTAAAATCTCATGCTACTCTATACTTGTCTGTATTTTGTGAAAAAAGGAAATTGCGCTCAGTGTCTTCTTCATAGACTTTTGTGTCATTTCCTTCACTGGTTATTGGTGCAGCGCCACCACAGGCGAGGGCGGGAGAACAGGTTTTTAACAACTGAAAATGCAACAAACGTTGCAGATTTTGGTCCCCAATCAGTCTGGACCATATGTGTGAAAACCTATAGTCCCCTATTATAATATGAACTATTATAATATGGAAGGGTAAAAGTAATTTGGAAACAGGATCACTAGTTCTGTTTGTGTTGACTCAATAGTTCAGAACTACATTTAATAAATTCCATTGAGTCTGGGGTTTTTTTTGTGTATGAACTTTGGTTATGAATTTTAGATTTCTACTACATGTTTTCTTTTTTTCAGAAACTTTGACTTACCAGAATAAACAGCATGATGATAGTTCGTTCAGTGACCTGTAAGGTTCTTATAAGGGAGGGATTGGGAATACTTTTTTGTTAAAGTCAACAGCAAAATCCCACTACAGAGCAGGTGCAATTTTATTCAACAAGAAGAAACGGAATGCTAAAATGCTTCCAACATTCAGGCTAATTTTTTTTCCCCTTGCTGTAATGTGGAAGCTGTTGAATTATTTTAAATTTTAATCTAGAGATGTAAACTGATGCCTCATTTACATTTTTCGTGGGCCAATATACATTTTCGCTTGGTCACAAATAGCACGGCTCTTCTGTGTTAGCTCCCGCTAGCCAACGTTAGCTCCCGTTAGCTGCATCCTTTTGCCGCTGTCTGTTTCTCATTCTGACTGTGCGTCTTCTCCTCTCTGCCTGATTTTTATGTCTCACTGCCTTTCTGGGGGATTTATTTTTTCTTTTTTGCCGCTGATGTCTGCCCGTCTGCCGTTGGAAATCTAAAAAGTGATAAACAATGTTCAAAAGCGTTCTTTGAGGGCGAGTTCAAAGTCTTTGCAGGCCTCCTTTTTCTTCCCCTGCCTCTCCACACGCAGCTTATATATCAATATATTTATCTCCTCGCCGCTTCTCTTTTTATTGTCTCTCCAGAGTTTATGGTAGTCTATTTCATGCTCCTTCCTGCTGTCAGCGGTGGCATACTGTAGCCCCGGCCAGCTGCTCTGGTTAAACATGGCTTCGCTGCGTCTGCTTAGCGGTTTTGTTCAGTGTGACCACCTCTGCTGTCCTCCCGGAGCCAAAACATTTTGTGTTATGACAGCTAAAAGTAAAGGAGGGTAATTATGGCAGCATAGTAACCTGAGTGTTTCTGTGTGGGCAATAGCAAACACACACACACACACACACATTTAAATAGACTGCATCCAAAATAGAAGACCACAAATAACACACACTAGTAGAAAGAGCTTTGAGAGCACTTCTGGACAAACGACTCTCTGAAGGATTGAAGAAACTGAGCGAAATGTGATTTGAAAGCTTTCATTTTTCTTTAGACTCTGTACAACAATCAAGCTTTTGACAAACACTTTTTACCTGCTACAGCCTGTCTGAAGAGCCTCTTCGAACATGGTATGACTGTTTGGAAGGAAGAGCAACGAGTCCCATGGTCTTTCAAATCATATTTATAATAATACCAGCTTCGTTTATTTTGAGCGTTCGATGTGTGTGGACGCATGTTTTAATACACTTTTTAGATTTCCAACAGCATTAAAACATGCGTCCGCACACATCGAATGCTCAAATAAACGAAGCTGGTATTAATATAAATCTGATTTGAAAGACCATGGGACACACCATTTTTTATTTATTTTTTTAATACAGTCAAATGTTAAAATCCAAGTCCCATTAAAAAAAGGTATGAAGGCTTTCCTTTCGTGTCACTTACATGGTACCTGACCCTTTCTTTGTTCCTATTCCTGTTTACAGCTGTCAGCAAACACCCAAGTAAAAACTCGAGATGCACTGATCTGATATTAATATCTGTATCGATACCGATATCAAAAAAACCCGTCTTGATTGGGTATTGGCGTCAATGTGCGTGATCTGTAAGAACAGATCCATTCATTCAGCCTAATTCTGTGTTTTGTACTCCAGCAGCATCATGTTTTATTATTAATTTACATTTTATTTAGAATTCATAATTGCAATTCCAGAAACATTTGAAAGATTTGTTGCAGTTTAGTTTTTACAATGTAGTCAACTTATTGACTACGTTGGTCAATAGGTTGACCAACGGATAGTTTCAGTTTATTATTTATTTAACACAGTCAGTTGTTCAGTTAGTGTTTTATTGCACTGACTGAACAAATAAAAATTATTTTTACGTGTTTGACCAAGCGACTGAAGATGTTGGTGTGCTTCAGTGTGTTGTTCTGGTTTAAACTGTATGAAACATTCCGGGAATTTTGAATCAATTTGAACTAAACTGAACTTATATCATAATTTCTCTTTCTTTTAGAGCTGGGCCTTCCATTCTCACGATAGTCTGTTTGGACAGGATTTCCATACTCCACACCTAAACCTCTAAAGGCGCCGGGTCTTACTTTCGATGGTCCGCTAAGCCCCGGACCATAATCTTCTTCAATATCAACTCCCTCATTTTCACCCTCACTCCTATCTGTCTCTGCCTCAGTCTCATCCAGACTCCGACTGATAAAACCCCCAGAGTTAGATCACTGGCACCCAGGTCCGTCTGTTTTCACAAGTGCGTAACTGAGCACTCGGCGCAGCCTCTTCGCTCCGCTCTGTCCGCCACAGCATGTGTAAAACAAAAAGCAACTTTGAAGACGGGGCGTCAAAGTCCGTCAGGCCAACCTGCTTCAAAGCCGTGGCAGTATTACATTTGAATCCTGGGGGATTTAGTGGGTCCTGCTTGACTACTGTTGTTCAAAGACGAACTCCAATCTGCCTCACAAGTGTCTCTCCATTTCGGCCGGCCTCTTCCCATCTTTGCCTTTATTTAGTTATAATTTGCTCAAGCTGGGCGTGCTCTTTCAATAAAACATTTCACTTAAAATGTCTCGACAAAGCATCTGTTTTTGAAACCCCAATTACAGATCAGAGATTCCAGTGTTTTTGTTCTATTTGAGTCCAGACAATTCATCTTGTAGTCTAGAAAAAAAACAAAAAAACTATTTGATACAGTGCCTTCCAGACGTATTCACACAAATTGATTTTTTTCCTACATTTTGTCTTGATTATACCATAAACTGCAACATATTTGTAATTATTGCTGTCCCGGACAGATATTGATAAAGGATATCAGTCTGATGTCAGCCTGAAAACGAGTATCGGATTATATCAACCTCATCTAAAACAATATCGCAGCTTCAGCTGTATTCAGACATTTTAGTAAGCTGTTCATAAAAGCTGCGACGCCTCATATTTTCTTGCTTTATTTGACTGTATATGACAACACATTCTTGCCACCATCTCTTCACTTTTAGTTCATACTAACATTTTTTTTTGATGGACTGCAGTGTGTTCAGCAATGCTTATTGCACCATAAACACAAAACAGACAAAACCCATGATCATGTCAGTTGATAATCTTGTCACAACTCATCCTATGACTGAAAGCCATAGAACGAGGAAGTTGTTACCCCTCTGACGATAAGCCCTGAAAGCATACTGAAGCTGTGCTGCCACAAGCCTTTCACACAATGCTGCCAGTAATTTACCTTATTGATGAGACATATTCTACTTCATAATGTGAACTTCACGTAAACGTGTAAAATAATGCATGCTCTGGTCAGATGAGACCAGAATTAAACTTCCTAGTTTGTGTGGAGGCAAACTAGCGAGGCACATAACCCTGAACACACGATGTCCACCGTTAAACACAAAGTAAACCTCTAAGAGGCCGCAAAGGCCTTGAATCTCGGAAAGACGTTCACCTTGTAGCATAACACCATCTGTGTTTCCATTGATCATGTAATTATGCAATTTGACATTTATTTAATTTTTTTGGCTGAATCGAAGTTGGATTATTTCGCCAAGCTGCAATGAAAAGAGTGCTACCCATTCAGCTAGTGATGGATAGAAGCAGACAGTCGTAAGGACCGGCAAACTCTTGCTGACTTTGCCAATTTGCAGCAAACACTTTTAACAAAGGTAAGAAGATTAATATTCATAAGTAAGCAGAATTTGTAAAATGCAATCAAATGTGGCTTATTGGAGAAGGTATGTGTCTAATCATCAGCAACCATTGACAAAACATCAGGTAGTCTACCATGTACGAAAAAAATTGGTCAGTATCTAGACTGCTGTACATTATTAAAAATAATAGTGGATGAATGCAGCAGGTATGGAAAACCACAAATGCAAAAAATTCAATCATATACCAATCTATTGTTAATCTATTCATGTTAAATAAAAATATTACTTATTATTTAAATATTTAGTCATTATTTCAGTTTGAGCCACGCAGAACTGATCTGATCATTTCCATAGCAATGATCAGAAGCAAGGCATTGCTCCAGAAGTACAGTGAGCTCACTGATGAGCACAATAGATCAAAGAAGTTCTGATGCTTGAATCTCATTGCATCAGTTAGGATCCAGACGGTTGTTGGAGAGTCGGTGTTGTGTATCTTAAGGATGTTCAGTATTTTGAAGGCGCTCGTCCCCTTTTTCCTCCCGCTCAGTTTCGGCCTTGGATACGTGGTGACCACAGGTTTGAAGAAAGTATGTGACCGTTACTTTCCTAGGAAGGATTCTGATGAAAGTGGCTGTCAGGATGATGAGAGCGATTTGTTTTGGAAAGGATTTTTACCTGATACCAAAGAACAAACTGACCCGGCTTGGGAGGTTTGTTCTAAACAAATGACGGATGTCTGTGGGACCACAGACTTTGACATGACTAAGACACAAGACGGCATGAAGGATAAAACTGTCTGAGAACAAACTGACCCGGCTGGGGAGGTTTGTTTTGTAAGTCAGACAGTCCACAGTCATAGCAATATTAGTGGCTGTACAAAGATGACGGTACAACCCAATCTCAAGTGTGAGAGTTCAGCCGCAGGGGACGGTTTTCCAAGAGTTCCCAAAGAAAAATCTAACCCTGCGGCTGACCTCACAGCCAATGCTCTTGCTGAACTGACAGCACAAGTTTTGGCCCCATCGATTCCATCAGGATGGTGAAATTGGACTGAGACCAAACATGTGTCCTGATGTGTTCGGTGACTTGAATTTATGGGATATAAGAGTAAAAAGATTTGACACGATTCCTGGTTGCAGGTTTCTCTCCGGGCACTCCGGCTTCCTGCCACAGTCTGAAATCATGGTTATTTGGTTAATTGGTCTCTAAATTCTTCTGAGGTGTGAATAAAAAATTAATTTCATGAATATAAAAAATAAAACATCAGACTTGAACTGTGGCCCAGCCTGGGGTTTAGATAATTAATGGATGATGGAAGAAAATTGAAACTTGTTAATAAATAATAATAATAATAATATACAGTACATAATAATATACATAATATGTAATGCATATATAATATACAACATATTATATATTAGATATATTCTTATTATATATTATATACATTCTCAGAAAGCTTATTTTAAAATATATTATTGTTATTATTAAGTGGTCAGTGATGTGAAACCGTCTTTCCACTGGTTTGTGACACTTTATGGTCCCAGCTCTCTGTAAAACCATTTGACCACTGACCACTGGATCATTGAAATTTTGCAAAGTGTTTTTTTCAATTGAAAATGCTGCTATGATTTTACCTTTCTGGTTTTCCAGACGTCCTGCCATGTGTCCACTTCAACATTGCTCAAAATTATTAAATAGTATCAGCATTTTTATCAGTTTTTGGGGAATGAGGGCGTTTTTTGTACAAATTAATAAATTATAATATTATTGAATATCCTTGTACTTCTGGAAGTTTATCACAAAGTAAAACACATTATATAGATTAATTATGTAGCTCTTCTATGTTCATCTGAGCTCCAGTGGGTTGACTTCATGACTCACTCAGGTTCACCATATTTATTCTGACAAAAGAGGAAATCAAGTCGGTGGTTAGCATCGGCCCAGCAGCTTCAGCACCTATAAAATACAATAAATCAACAAGCTAAATGAGCTATTAACAGCAGGTAGCAGTTGTAATATTAAACATAGCTAAAATGCACAATGTCAAAAATGTTCAGTTTAAAGGATATGGAGGGATTATTTGTAAACACAACGGATGTGAGCGCATTATGACGGCGGAAAGAGCCAAGATACCATGGCTAATGTTACCCGCAGTAATCTTGCTGTTTTAGCGTTAGCTAGAGTGTTGTCAGTTAATGTACTGCTGATGTGACATCGACTGATAATCCCTCGATACAAAACATAGCAAAAATACTCATGAAACACTGCATATGATTAAATTTGTCTAAAATATATGTTAAAATATAATACATGAAATGCAGAGCTGATCCAAACACAACAGAACAAGTGGGGGACGTGCAGTCAACTGGTTGCTATGTTAACCACCAACTGTCAAGGGCAGCATAATTTACTACACCAATAAATGTCTGGAGAAACAGCTTATTAACTAAACAAAATAAATTTTATTGAATAAATAAACATATTTTGACAAGCTAGACATCTATAACATTGATAAAATAAAATCCTGTTACAGTTACACACAGATATTTTATTTCTGTTAACTGTGAGTGTTGGAGCTCGGTTCGATTCAGGGTCAAAATTGCAGCATTTATTACATTTTCAGACCTGTAGTTCACTTTCACACTGTACTGTCAAACTAAGAGCAGGTGAGTCTGGAGGGTTTCTAAGCTAGTCGTTTCCAATTTTTATAAATTCTGCCATCTATGAGCCCCAATTTGGCATGATACTTCCAAACATAAATTAGCAGGACTTGTAGAAGTAGAAGCCATGGCCATGTTGGCAAAAACAACTTGGGGAAAACAATCACAGTCAATTCTCCCATCCCTAACTTTCCGACGTCCGTCTTATCGCCTCGCGTGGCTAAGGGTCAGTGAAGTATCTAATAATAATTTCTATTCTGGTGTTCTGTTCCCAAACAGCTGCAAACTAAACAAAAATGATGAATAGTTTTGGATTCCTTCTATAGGATATTTAACAATATGCTCACCGACTGCTTATTGTGTGAAAACCTCACGATCCGAACATTAGGTACTGACTTATCTCATGGATCCCTACATGTGTTGTTACACCCTTGCTAAGTGGTGTAGTTGAAGCCTGTGTAATTCTGTTACCTGGTTTCACTCAACCTTAAACACTCATCTCACTGAATTCCTTCCCAGCATTTAAGGTGTGCCAAGACAACTTATTGCAACACACGTGGGAGAGTGCAGCAGCAGATCTTTCTGCAGCCACACCTTGGGCTAAAGAGAGACAAGAAGTGACGGATATTAATTGCTGATCAGCTCAGCTGCAGACAGCAGGATTTGCGCCGACGTTCCCCACCTGCCAGGTGTGAAATACCAGCGGAGAGAAATAATTAACAGAACGGCAGAGCATGGTAGGATCCGAGGGACTTTCTGCAGAACGGGAGTCGTGTTTTCACGGCGATCCGCCCACCGGTCCCACAGGTTAGTTTGGTTCAGTTTGGTGGTTCTAAGATAAACAGCCACTGAGCTCCGGTCTACTGCGACATGCTCCATCAGGTTTTTGGATTGCTGAAATCTTGGCACGCCAAATAATTGGTGATTAACCACCTTTCAGAATAAAAACCTAACAAGCACAGAAGCTGACACTGTTTTGTTTACATGGTTTGACACACAGTTACCTGTTATCCCTTACATGAGCTATTGGAGTGCAGCGAAAACCATTTTCAGGCCTTTCTACTGGATTAGAGCAAACATTTTTCACTAGCTGCGTTTCTGTTTGCTGTATAATTGCGCAATTTGACATTTTGAAAATAAATTTGCTTAATGGAAACACTGCAATTTTGAAAAAAAAAAATATACATTTTTTTTTTACCTAAGATGAGGCGTTTTTTGGCCATATTGAAATTAGTGTATTTCACAAAACTTCAATGGAAACACTTTTTTCACATCGCACCAGTCATATGCACAACAACCAGATGTTGCCACTGGGGAAGCCATGAAGAAAAACAATAGGAAGTAACTGGAGGACTACGGCACGGCATAGTTTTAACGCCTTATCGTGTGAACAAACTCATGTGCGCGTTATTCTAATTGTGTTTCAAATTTAATGGAAACAGTGCATTTGTGAAATTTCATCAACGTCAGCAGAGTATTAAAGTTTTGTTCACATTTGTAATGGAAAACAGCATTCCTGTTCTTAGGTCAAGTGAAAGGATTCTGGTTCTACACACAGATGGAACCACAGAATTGTTCATTTTGTTTTTCCACATTGTTTGAGCTATACTTTTCTTTTTTTAATCAGTGGTTCTTTTAAGGTTTGCCCATACTTTTGACACTATTTATCTTTCCACCAAAGCAAACGTGTCATGATGTGAAGTTGTGATGATGGACAGAAGGTGAATAACTTAACTTAAAAAACGTACATGGTGAGAGAAAACAGGAACCGGGTGCGTCAAGATAGCGGGGCGTAGCAAGGAGTGAGTGAGTGGAACACAGGTAGTTACATACTGGTCGGTTGATCGCTGGAACAATGTAGAGGTGCTAATTAGGAAACAAGGTGCAGCTGATCGGGGAGAGCAGAAGGCAAGCTGAGGGAGAGGGACACAAAGATGCACAGGGGAGTAGAGTTTGGCAAAATGTAATTCTAGTGGACTAAAGAATAACTAAACACAAGGAATAAACATGAACAACAATGAATAAGCACAGAGCGAAGTGCAGTAAAACAGAAGCAATCATAAAAATAACTAACCTAAGATCCTGATAAAACATGGATCTAAAAAGAAACGTTTTGCTCTCATCTGACAAGATTTCTCAAGCCTTTTCTCAACGAGGCCTCTGAGGTCTTTACAGAAATTACACTCAGCTGGGCTTGATTTACTCATAATAGGACTTTTTATTTTGCGGTGTTAGGGCAGAGGGGTCTGAACACAAGTGCCAGGAATTTAAAAATGTTTTAACCCTTAGAGCTCCGGAGTCTCTTGGAACAAATTATCTTGGAATGATTTTTGTGTTCTTTCCATTTTGGAAAGATGCATGATTTTGGGTCTGTTTCATAAAATGCCAATAAAATTCTGCTGAAATCTGTGGTCACAATGTGACAAAATGTGGGGGAAAAAAAAGTTAGGAAGTGTGTGTTATTATAAAGAGGTTACATAAAAACACATTCTCAAAATATTTGATGTTCTAATTGTCTTTCAAATAAATGAATTTTCTTTTTCTTCACAGAACAAAACTAAATGATAGGACTTGAAGAATCATGACACATTCACCTTTTTTTTTCTTATAATATACACACCCTAATTGTGAGATACACACCCAAACGACTCCCAACAACCCACACTGAACCACAAGTCCTGGCTGCGGATCATTTCAGCCACTAATTTCTTGTTGGGAAGCCAGATTTCTTCCCTGCACATGCTTGCGTGAAGGGAGCCGCGAAGGCCCTCCAAATGTTGGGCTCTATGGGAAAAAAAATCAGAGGACCCTCAGATAACGTGGGGTCACTGGCAGCCCAACAAACCGCTCCTGTTTCTGTTGTCGCCAGGCGGATTTCTGAGCTTGGAAACGTGAGCTCCTCTCATTTCGCTTTCAGATGAATTACTACAGATAATTAGTCCTCATTTTGCTCGACATGAGAAGTTTACGCAACAAAACAATAGAGTGGGAGGAGGGGAAAAATGTTTAATTCATGGCATTTTTGCGGCTGTTGACTTGCAGATAAACGACCGAGCAATTATTGCTCTGGAGGAGCCGTTGCTTCCTGCTGTTCGGCTGCATCAGATCTAAATGCCTGACGCCGGCCTGGAGGGGCAGCTTGTGTGCTTCCAACATCCAATAATTGCTGCGCACTCTCGACGTCGTCCTAAAAATCAGAGGAACCCGCGTCGGTGCACGACTCCAACAGATGAAGATTGCTGTTGCAGTTCCTGGCAAAAAAGAGATTATTGCTTCAAACTGCAAAGTTAATAATGTGCGACGGTGCCAGTGGCCCAATTTCAAGGGCTTGGCTTGAACCGATGACCCCTGCGTTCAAAAGGAGTCAGGGCGATGGCGAAATAAACACACGGGTCCTTTAGTGGAGCATCAGGAGAATTGTTAGGCGATCTTTGAGGTGCCACCAGACGCCTGGCAGCGCGGTCGTAAATGCTGTGAAGCTGCTGTAACTACTTTAGGTGAGGGAAAAAAGCAAACAATTCCCACAACAATTCCAGTGTTTTTAATGAACACGTTTTGAGCTAACAGATTTTACAATGTTCTGCCAAAGTATTCCTACCTTTAGTCCTTTTCAACATTTTGACATTGTCTCATTACAACCACAAATTCTGCTCTTATTCCACAGCTTTGTGTGTGTGTGTGACAGACCAACAAAAAAAGGTTTGCCTATTTCACCCTGATACCACTGAATGCATTTCTGCACTACCAACTGCTTTAACATGTCGTCTAATTAGTGAAAAAAAGTTAAATATTGTTTTTATCAGGAGACATTTCACCATATATCAAATAAAACAAATCTGCCACATTCACAGCACAAAAGTTCACTTTTTATAAATAACTGGTGTAACTGATGTTTCTTTTAAATGGTAATAATTTAAAGGCCATCTGCAGAAGTGGATGAACTCACTAAAAACTGTACTCAAGTAATAGCAGCACTGCTTTATGCAAGTGTGAGTAAAAAGTACTCATTCAAAAAATCACTCAAGAAAGAATAGAAAAGTATTTGATTGAGAAGCTACTAAAAGGGACAGTAGTGTGTATTTTCCAGGCATATAGTGGCATTTACAGCATAGTTAGTCACTATATTAACTTCAGTTGTTATTGGGCCAATGTAGCTTTAAGAAGTTTCTGCTCTTTCTGAAGCTCCGCCTTCAGGAAGTCATCACAATATCGCTCTTTTATTAACCCTTTATTGACGTTTTTACCAGTGTTTCAGGAGCCACTTCTCATTACAAGCTCAGCAGACACGCAGGTCCACCAAGTGTTTGCTAATAGCTGCTGGCTAGTCTGAAGGAGCTGAGTGGGGGAGCAACAGGGCAGGGCTGCTCTGTGAGGCAGAAGCTTAGAAAGAGCAGCTCATCGCCTTGAAACAAGGACATGCTGCGTCTTGAATGGTTGCCACTGGAGATTAAAGGATTTGTCCAAACAACATTTTTTAGGAGGGTTGTTTCTTTAAAAACGACTCGTTTGGGGTTAGAAAAAGTCCATTAAGCGTTGAACAAAAATTTAATTAAATTTTTCTTGAAGGAACAATGACTCATCTTTGTAATTAAGTTGCACTGAAGGAACGCTGAAGAACGATGCTCCAAGGTTACCCCGATCGCAGCTGAAGGAATCAATATAACTTGTCTGAACATGAAAGGTAATAAATTAAGGAGGAACAATAATAGCCTGCTAGAACATCATTTCACAACGTACCTCCTTTATATGACCTGTGAGAGACAGAGCTCATAGCTAATGATGGGAATTAAGAGTTCTGTGTCATTTGACTCATCTGACTAGTCTGGCTCCTAATTTGCTCTTTAAGTACTATGTGTTATTATTATTATTATTACATGTGAACTTACCGGTACACAATTATGAACTAGACGTTTTTGGTATGGCTATGTTGGTTCTGTATGCACATGTACCGAATGAATACAGTGATGTGTTCAAACCGAGTCTGCAGAGAAACTCTAAAACTCGACACCAAAACTAAACAGTGTGAGCTCCCAGTTATCACTAAGTACAGCTAAGGTTTTCCATTCAGCCACAGTAGCTGAATCTCCATTAAAATTAAAATGGCTACAGTTACTACTGGTGGAAGTGCCAAAGAAGACGACAGGAAGTAGTTGGAAAAAACAGCATGCTTTTTTAATGACGTATTGTCAAGTCTGATTTTAACTCAGTTTCTTATTTAATGGAAACACCTCATTTATAAAATGTTATTTTGTTTCCAACTTTAGCGGAACGTCAACGTTTTGGGCACATTTGTAATGAAAACGCAGCTGGTGATGATGGAGACAGAAGGAACAATCAAACCAGAGTTTTGCCAATATTTGTCAACACTTAATTGACAAATATTGCTGACCAGAAGTAGCTTCAAGCGGAACGTAAAAACGACTGGCACTGGAGAAAATGAGCTAAGGTCCAAATCCAGCTGCCTGGAGTAGCATTCAGCCAACCGAAAATGCTGCACAACAGCAGATAAGTCGGCACCATTCCCTCTGAGGACACAGCGGGGATGCTGTTTTAAGAAGCACTGGATCGTCTGTATATGGAAAACAATTCCAAAGTGATGTAAATTATTTTTATGCACAAATATCAGTGCAATCCCATTGGAAAAAATCTTGAAGGGTCAGTATTATGTAGATGCAACTTCTTTGTAGCTTAACACGATGTTATGATGTTATTTCCCATCAAAAACATACCTGGAGCGTTGCCATGATTCTTTCATGCATGCTTGAGAAATCCTTTAATCTCCATGGCAACCATTCAGCTATGCAAAGGGTCTGGTTGGACCTAGCCCCGCCTTCAAGCACAAAACTCCTCCTCAGAGCTGCATTTTCCAAGCTTCTGAGCTTGAAACTCCTCCACTCAGCTCCTTCAGACTAGCCAGAAGTCTGAAGGAGCTGATGTACAGTTCCTGGTGGAACTGTACATCAGCTGAGCTTGTTATAGGAGCCATTTCTTAGTGCAATGCTGGTAACAATTTTGTTAAAGGTTTAATAGAGGAGATATGCGGTGATGACTTCCTGGAGGCGGAGACTCAGAAAAAGTTGGAGTTTCTTAAAGAAACAACTCAAATTTCAAGGAGTTTTATTTAAGTCATATTTCATCTACAACACTTTGAAGGTAATTTGTTGATTATGCTATAAAAGGTCACTACGTGCCTAGAAGATACATAATAATGCTCTCTTTAAAAAAAAAGAGTATTTTCAGGTGGTTTTAATGTTTTGTCATTTATCCACCTGCACCTGATTGTTCAAAAGATTAAACCAAATCACCAAATCTCTTTGAAGGTATTAACCGTAATAAAATCAAACCTATGGGCAAGTGAAAGTGACCAACTAACCTAATATGTACATTTTTTTTTTTACTTTAGCGGGAAGTCAGAGTATCCTGGGATAAAACTTTACAAGCCCAAATGATGCTAACACAGCACTTTGCTGGGATTTCAGAATAATGTGCAGCCACTGAGGTGAGGCAAGAAATGCACAGATGTAGAGTATATCAGTTCAGATGTGAATAATGAACAGAGGCAGCATGAGCTGAAAGACACAAAGGAGGTAAAAATACAGATATGGAGTATGTATGAATAACCCTTCTTTTTTTAAAAATTCAGTGCAATCTACCAGACACAAGAATTTGGGTCAGAACACTTTGAAAAAGTGTGGCTTACCAAACTCCTGGCTTTCAAGAACATCCAGACTGAAAATAGTCCAGCTGAAAGACGAAGTAAATCAATAATGTGGGAACTCGCACCACATGAAACGCATGTCATCCTGGAAGCAATTCCATCCACATCCAGAACCGGCTTTTGGAGATGAAGGAAGGTCGTTACGCTGAGGCCGCTAGCTGTCAATGCTGTGATGCATATGGGCTAATGTATGGAAAGTAGAAGCTGTGTGAAACCGCCTTCATTATCTGAAGTTGAACGGGAAGTTGCCATATGTACTTCGGAGCAGCAAATTGGTGGGGGAAAAGGAGACGGAAGATAAAAATCCATGCACACAATGATACGTCTCGGGGGAAGCAAAGGCTTTTAGCTCCTTCTTTTTAGCTGTCGTTAAAGTAGAAATGCAGTGGCACCAATCCAAACTTTTAACTTTAATTTTACTAACTTGAATGAAGCCTGGGACGTCAGAACTGTTGTTTTTCCTGCTTAAACTGGAGCCAGTTTCTAAAACGGATGACTTGGCAGTTTCAGTAAGCAACCAATTTGTCTGATGTAGGAGTTATCACTGTGCGGGTTCACAGAACGGAGCCGTAATGAATCTGGGTTCTAGACAGCAACATTCTGGGATCTTTGGAGGATTTTAAAAGTCGAGGTTTTACACAGTTAACAGGGACAGCGAGTATGGGTTTCCTATGGCTGCAAACGCGCCGCATCAGCAGAAAAGACTGGCTGTTTAGCACATCTTGCAAACTCAGCTGGAGAATCGTAGGAAACTCTTATTAGATGACCCAATTCAGCATCCCATGGTCTTTAAGGGGGTGTTCACACCAGCCATGTTGAGTCAAACTCTAATTTGTCTAACAAGTACAAGTGTGAATGCACTGTCAAACTTTGATTGGACCAATCTCTGGTCCACCTAAAAACCTAAGTCCTGGTTTTGTTGAAGTGAACTCTGGTGCGGTTGGAATGCATATGCAAATGTAAATGGACTGAAGTCTGCTCCAAAAGCAGGAAGAGGACAAAAGCGCAGGGCATTCTGGGTAAATACTCCCAAAACAAACGAGTGAGTCTATTGCTAGTGGAAGAAATGACTCGTGGTCTTCAACCAAAGACAACAGAGAAATCCTGCAACCGTTAAAATCGGTCTACACTCCATTTCTCTTTACGTTTTGTTAAGAAGGAAGTTTCGATCAGCATCTGCGATTTCATTGGCCATAAAATTGTGCAATTTGGAATTATGAAAATGAATGCCACACATATAAGGGACTTGATTAAAAGACGCCAACGTCTCCTCTGATCGCTGATGATGAACACTGAAAAATAAAAATACCTCATGGAACCGTTTACATCCACTGGCATCATCACTTGGCATCTTTGTGTCGTTTCCTTCAGTAGTTCTTGGTGCAGCGCCCCCTCAGGCCAGGTGGAGAACAGGTTATCGACGGGTTTGATTAGTTTGACACAGCAAACGTAACAAATGTTCCAGTTCTGGTCCCCAATCGAACCGAGTCTACCGGACTAACAGGTGTAAGAACACCGCAAGATTGAGGTTGCTTTTGTGAACTAAAATTTTTTTGATTTCTTTTGTTTTTGTGGCACTTCACCAGAATTTTGTGAAATTTACCTCATGACACACTACATGCAATATAGTGTGTGGTCATAGTACATAAGTGATATCAAAAATATACATCATGTTGCTTAAAACTTAGAAGAAATAAACTTTAGTTGCCTCCCCGACACGTTTCCAGAAAGGTGAGTAGCTGAAGGGACCCAGCGGCTGGCAGAGCCACACAAACACCAGCAGGGAGACAGGCAGTCATTACTCCTACAGCGCCGGTGATCAACACTAATTATCGTCTTTGACCAGGGGAGGACCGTCTTCCAATGTGTCCCTCGCCGATGACAGTTCATTACTCACCAGCAGCTAAAACGAAAGGGGGCCCAGCTGTCAGGAATTAGAGCAGAAATCTGCTGCTGAAACTTTCCTACCTGAAGATTGTCAAAAATAAAACCACACACACACGCACACACACACACACCATGTTACAGAAGTGGCTGCTCCTTTTACATCTATAGCATCTTGGCAAGGTAATAAAAACCTGAGGATTTTTCTGGTTTTGACTCATTACACCCACTAACTTCGTGCGTTTTACTGGGATTTAATGATCAACACCAGGTAGCACAAAATCTAGATGTATTTTGCAAAACTGCAATGAAATATTTTATTTTTATTTTTTCCAACAGCCGGACGTTACTACTGGCGAAGAAGATGACAGGAAGTGATTGGAGGATGACTGTTTGCAGCTGGATGCACCAGAGCTCTCACAGCTTCACAGAGTTCAGAAAAAGTTGTCATTCTAGCATGTTGAATCCACAGCTCTTCTGAAAAATCAGCTACAATTTTCCCAAAACACAGCATATGTAGCCACTCCCAAGTAGGCGGAGCTTGTCCCTCCAACGCCTGAATGAGACGCAGGCGCCACCTCTGATTAGCTGATAGATGATGAACCTTAGCTCCATGACTGAATTATAAATGTATCTCATGTAACTGTTTACATATGTCACTGCCAAGATTTTTAATGACTTATCCCATGAACAAGCTTATTCACAAGTGATTTTAATTCCACTTCATATTTAATGGAAACGTTGCGATTGCAAAATAATGTTTTTTCGACATTAGCAGAATGCTGACAAAGCGTGGTGGACATTTGGTGCACAAAGCTTGGAACATTTTAAAGTGTAGTTTTCTTTTGCTGTGCTCGTTTCTCTTTGTTTTTTGTTTTTGTTGTTTCTTTTGCATTTATTCTAATTCAAGTAAAACACTCTGGCCTTTTTGCTGAAAATGTGCTATATAAATAAAATTACATTACCTTACATTTTTCATGGAAACGCAGCTAGTGTCTCTGGGGCGACTACTCTGTCTCTCTATCCACCTGCTACTCTGCACATGCATACATATTTTTTCTTTTTTCTATTCATATTTTATTTAATTGTTTTGCATTCATACATCAAAATAATTTCTTAGCCTGTGAGCTTGTTTACAAAGGTGATTTTGACTCTGAAAGTCTAACGAATTTGTGTCCACGATGTGTGGGGTCTGCAGAGATGTTAGCTGTCCTTCTTTTCTCTGACTCTGATCTGTGACATTTCTTGATGGAGTCAATTTCAAGAAAGAGCAGAGCAGGAAAACACACTGAAGTGCTTCTTGTGTAGCTCACAGAAATTCCTCCGGTTTGTGGTTGGATGTGACATACTGGAAAAAGGTCAAAGGGCGTACAAACCTCCAGAGACTGGTTTCCTGAATGTTTTAAGGCGGTACACAGTGTTTTTAGTAACTCTTATCTACTATACATTCTATAGAAACGCTCACTGTTATCGGATAAGAACAACTAAAAGTCTGCTTTTAAAAATAAAGTCACATAAATTGTTCTCAGTTGTGTTTTAGGCTAGAATATCTGACATTTGACAACACCTAATCTGGAGATGCTGAATATTTACGTGATTGATTCCTGCAGCTTTTTGGTGAGGATTTGAAGCAAGGCTGTGAAATGAAGAACCGGAGCGCTGGGATTACTCAGAGGAAAAAAACCCCCCAAAAAACTAAAAACTATCATCCTGGGAGTGGATGACGGTTCACCATCAGGTCAGAGGGTGCACAGCTCAGAGATGTTGCAAAACACTTATGATCTACATCTCCGATTCAAGAGGCCTCAGTAACTGAGATGAATGTTAAAGTTCACGGCAGGACGGTTAGGAAAGGGCTGGAACATTCGGGATGGTTACCATGACAACAACATGGAAGCACAGTTTAGGAGTTTGATCTGAGTGTATTATTAATACACAGCAAAATGTTTGATTAAAAAACTATTTTATGTGCAGAATTCCTCCTGCACATAAAATCTAAAGTAAACATGTTTGTTTAAAAACGTTTTGATTTATCAGGAATCATTTTCTGCTTTAATGCTTTCTGTTGTAAAGTGGGAGATGTTCTTCTCCACTGTCACCACATGCATGCTCAGGATGAATATGTAGCTTTTTACCAACTATTACATGATCCTCTAACTTTGACTGTTCTGCTGTTTAATTACCTTCATATTTCACTGTTGTTTCTGACCCAAATATGATGACATGGCTGGTTTGTATTGAAGTGAACTGAATTGAGACTTCTCTCTTGTAAAGTTCCTTATAACATTTGTTGAAATCTGCACCAATACATGGGAAAACAACTGCATTTCATGTTTTATTGATTAGTAATTTTTTTTACTTTATTTTATTTATTTTCTCGATAACACTTTATTTGAAGGCTTGTGCATAAGACTGACATAACGCTGTTGACATTGTAATAGATTTTTAATGCAGGCTTTAGTACAACTTTGCATCAAGTCTCATTATTTACCGAATGACACTTCATGACAACATTCATAAACAAAGACTCCTTCATGTTCATAACAGGTGTTATGTCATGTTTATGACGGCGTTATGCAAGTCTTATGCACACCCCTTCAAAATAAAGTGTTACCATTATTTCTAAATGTATGGATTACTTTTTGTTTCAAAATAAAGACTTTCTATAAGAAATCGTTATTATTTTTATAGATTTTATCATTTTTTTGTGTGTGTATGTTTTTCCTTGTTTTTTTTTATATTAGTGTTGCAAAGAAAAAGCAAAAAATATGACAAGAACGTCGTCTGCTGCAGGTAAGATAGTTACCATTCAGAATCACACTTGATCTTGGAGAAAACGTGCTTTCAAACACGAACAAGAAAAATGTTTTACCTCTGAAGACATTTTGATTTGAGTGTTTTGTGAAATTTGCAGAAAGAAAACAAAACTAGAGCTTAACTTGTGTATGACACTCAGACGTACCTCGTCAGCAGCATGAAGGCAGAAAGCAGACATGTCACAGAGAAGAGCAGCTGGTGGTTATTCTTTGTAACCTCCTGGCCGTCTGTCTCTCCAGGTTTATCTCCTGAAAGCAGAGGCATTGAGTGAGGGCTGAGTTCTCACTTCAGCGCTGGCCTGCCAAGCCGTTGCAGGGTTTGGCAGGCCAGCGCTGCATAATGACGGTAATTCAATTCCTCCTAACAGCCGAGGTGTAATTGTTTAACTCTATAATGGTGTCTTGGATCTTAACTCACTCAGTCAGACAGAGGGAAATGAAAAATCATGTCGCAGAACTGGAGGTACAGAAAAAAAGGAGCATCCATTAGCTTCTTTTCAGCACTTTTACATCAGTGAGTAAAAACACAGGTTTTCTCCTAACAGAGAATAACACATGAAATGTAACAAATGCAGGTTTTACAAGAGCCCTGCTTTCATTATTGTATTACATAAAGCATCGTAATTGTATATTTATTTATTTATAAGCTATGCTGCTGATGTTATTGCAAGTATGTGTAACTGTCTTTGTAATAAATGTTTTTTTTTTTTAAGATGTGGAGGAGTACCCACTGTCACGGCAATGACTGATGGGCATCATTATATATTTTTATATATTATATATTTTTATTTGTTTTATTCGGAGAGGATTGATGAAAATGGAGTTTGAAACGGTAATAAAATATTGAAACATTTAAGAAAGAGGATGTGGACAGACATCTTTCCCTCATCTTGAGGCCCAAGGTGGTAAATTACAAAGTCAAATTTGACACATGTAGCCATTTTTATAACAATTGAAGGCAACATAGTTACTTGATTATGCTGTAAAATGATTGTACATGGCTATAAAACACATAATATTGCCCCTTTAATAAAGCAGACATGTTGTCAGGGTGTTGATGGGGCGTCTGTGAAGACGCGTCACTAATCACTTGTAGTTTTCTTACAGTCCTGAACCCTAAACCTCGTCTTCTCTCTGTCCTCCTCCTGAGCTGAACTTTGGGCGACACCAGACCTTTACTCCTCACGGCTTTGAGTTTTCATCTCAGGTTGACATATATCGGTTTTAGGACAAAAAAAAAAACAAAAAAAGCTCAGTGTCAAAGGATCATTGAGTCACCTCTGAAGTGAACAGAATGCAGGACTCTGTTTGTGCACCTTACTGTGCACAAAACCTCTTTCAGGCTGTGGATGAGCCACAGCAGTAAAACTGCCTTCTCCTGTTTCCTGTCCATTCAAATCCATTTCTTTGGCTGACGTTGCTTTTCTTTTTTTCCCCTTCCTATTGGAATATAAAGGTGTTATTCAGGCATCCCAGAAGCAATATTTGCCACATTAGATGTGAATACGTCCCTTTAATGGATTTTCCTATCCACCTCTCTCTCATTTTATTATGTCTGCTTGGCACGGCCGATGTCTCCCGAGCCTTCCTCTGCGCTCCCCAGTCGCCACGGCAGCAGCTGATGGGGTGAGCGGGAGTGTGGGGCGAGAGACGGAGGAGGACGATCTAGTGGCGGAGGAGGACATGGGAGTGGGTCAGATTGGGGTGAGGGGGAACGGCAGAGGCGACAAAATGGCAAATAAAAAGAGAGAGAGAGATAAGAGGGGAAAACGGAAGAACAACCTGAATCTGAGGATGTTACCCTGTGGACTCAGATAATCGTTTGAAATGACACAACATGGCTGACCTTCCTGTGACTCGCAGAGCTCTCCGTTGCTGAAATCTGTCATGTTTGTGCAACAGAAAGACAGAGATACTCAGAAAGAGAGGCTGCGACCTCTGATCACCCTACCAGCAAAGTTTACTGCTGGAAATCAGTAAAATTATGTTTGGAAAAACTTCGGAAACGAAGCAACATTTAAAATAAAAAAAAAAAAAAAACCAATCAGATCCCTGACCTATAGTAGACCTATATATAGTTAAGCCTGTTGCAATAAATCAAATGATCAATTAATCATGTTAAATTAAAATGAGTTCAATCATTTCTGTTTGCATGATTTGTAGTTTTTCTCTTTTCTCTTTTGCATTTGGTTTGGTGTTTTGCTCTCAACCAGCTCTTTTGTGAAGAATAATTCTTGTTTCTACAAATGATCAATCTTTTAGTGAGTTAAGATAATTCGCAGTCAGTTAAGTGATTGGTAACAGTCCTTTTATTCTGTCTAAAGGTCGCAATCGTTACAAGAGTTATATTTTTACTCAAACAAAATATTGTCTTGTATCATAAAAAAAATTCTGCTTCAAGTAAAACAATACAGGTCAATTCTGAAGTAAAATAAAAGAGAAATTTCATTTGTCATGGCAGCTGGACCTTACTCAAGCGTTAAACCAGTCATATTCAATAAGATAGAATGTGCTTTCCTGCAGGGCTTGTTTGTCAGATTAAAATAATAACATTTAAGCAAGTATTAAACATACTTCTCATTCAGTCTACATTTCTGTTTTTAAATGATTTTCATTTTTATTGCTCTGATTGTTATGCGTGATCCAGCGTGGAGCTGGATTGATGTTAAGATCCAGACTGGAGAGCAGGGATGATGGAGAAAAAAATGTAAAAACCACAACAAAAACCAACTTACAACCAAGAAAACAGAGTCAAATTTAGAACGATGAGATACACCAGAGCGGCACAGGACAAAACAGAAGGAGTCGGTGGTTAACACTGAGACCAGAGAGGTGATATATGTGGAGCAGGGCGTAAAGACAACAAACAGCTAATGAAGCAAGTGAGGCGAGTGAGGGAACGACAAACAGCTGGGAAGAGGAACAAACGGAAAGACAAATTAACACAGAATGGAACGGAGAGGAAACCCAAACAATGACCTAATATCTAATCTAACCTAATAAATCCAAAACTAGGAAGGAGTAAACTGGAATGGGAGGATGAAAATAAATACCAAATGCAAAAGAACAAATCACAAAATGAGAAACAACTGAACTAACAGAACTGGGATGAGAGGAAATGATGAAAGCAGGAAGTCAACAGGAAAAAAATGAAGCAAAAGTCCAAAACAAGAAGCGATCACAACACTGACGTAATATTCTACTCTTAAATGTTATTTTTTCATTAGGTTTTCTAATAAAATTAATAGAAATGGAAATTACGTTGAAGGGGTTTTTTTTAAGGAAAAGTGTAAAAACAACATTAACAAGCTAAAATGTTCAGATTTATTTTCTAAATAGTAGCAATCATAGTAATTATAAAAGTATGTATTATTTTCCTTCCACTTCACAGGAACAGCCTCCTTTTGTCGATGAAAGTTAGTGGTTGCAACATGACAAAACCTCCAAACAGGAAAACGGAGTAAAATTGAGAACATGGAGGATGGTGTTCAAAGAACTCTGCACAATTCTCAGAAGAAACTAAACGATAGTCAAATATAGCTCATAAAATACAAGAACATTTGCCACCAAGTTGTTTGAAGAAAGATTTTTCTTTTATTTTTTTCTCACTTTGAACATGTCGTTTCCGACAGCGTGATGTCGAGGTGAAGCTCAACAGATTTACTTTCACAAGTGGAGCGTTGCAGCTTCCTCCATCATAGAGCTTCATTAGAAACCGTAAATTATACACCAACATTCCTCCAGATCCAGACTTGGTAAACACCGGCCAATGAGGGCAGCAGGTAACGAATCAGGAGTTTGAAACGGTTTAGGCTGAAGTTGGTCGTGGAATGTTTTGTTGGACCTTCTGGCTGCGTGCAAAGCTCCAATTCTTTTCTTGGCCGATTTTCTCCAGCAGTTCAGAGCTGAAGCCGGACCTCTCTCCGTCCAACTCTTGTGTTTTCTTGCACTGCGTCTCGCCCATGGGGGGGTGGGGGAGGGGGGTCCGCCTTTGTCTGCTTCAACGCGTCGAGATCCTGTTTGTGAGTTTCCTCGTTTTGTCTTCCTGGACGCACGTTAAACTCCCGAAACCACGCCGGGGGGCAGAGGTAAGGGGGGGACGTGAGGCGAGTTTAAGGGGGAACCTCAGCACACCAGAGTGCGCTGGGAAAACAATGAAACGACTGTGATTCAGTTATTCTCGTGAACTGTGATGGACAAATTCCTCTGGTGCCAGAGAGGAGGTATTTCAGTAAAAAACAAACAAAAAAAAAAACTCCTAAATGCCTCTGTGTGGAACACAAGCAATACTGTGGTGTTCATGGAAAAAAACAGTTTTATGTCCCAATAAAAGCTAGTTTACTGACGACTGACTGGGTGTGTGTGTGTGCATCAATAAAAAAAAACAACAAAAAAAACGGAGGACTCGGAGACATGCACATGTTTAAAAAGCACGAGAAGGGTGAAGGGCATGTTAGTGGGTCCAAATGAAGTGGGATCCATAGACTTGCATCAGCAGGATTTATATTTGGACTCAAACTGTTAATTTGTCCCCTAACAGATTACTGCTTATTTATAACACCTAAACACTTCAAAGTCATCAAATAGATGAAAAATCAGGCAACGAGAACCCTAGTAACGAATCATTTCTTAAGTAAAAACGTTATCAAACCGGCTATTTTTTTTAAATTGCAATGGCGTTCTTGTTAAACAATGATCGGCCCAACTTTTCAGGCCTGCAGATTTAAAAGCGACATACATAACACTGGTTTGACAACATGAAGTAGGGTAAAAGATCTCCAACGCAAACACATTGTGAGTCAATCGAAAGAAATTTGAGCAGAATTGGAGGAAACAGAGTCGCTGACATCTGTCTTATCTGGAAGCAGTTAAAAAGTCATTTCTACGGTTTCGGGTCTCCAGTAAAACCCACACTGAGCGCCATTCCCCCTACAAATGGGGACAACATGGAGGAGCGGTGAAACCTTCCCAGTAAGTGACTGGGTTAAAGAAATTACTCCCGAGACCACATCCAAGCAGACTCATCCAAGTTTAAAATGGTCCGGGATCACGTCTAAACCGCTGGAGGCGGCGCTCGCCCCAAATAAGGTCAGTGTTGATTCAAAAAATTAAAAAAGTTAATAAAACGAAACAAACAAACAAAAAAAAAAACCTACATTTGTGGGAAGTAGCACTGGGGTGTATGTATGTGTGCTAAGCTACGC